GCGCGCGTACGTGAGCGTGGCTCCGCGGGTCTGTGCTGTTGGAGGGTGTGTGACTGCTGTCCCGGTGTGTCTCCGTGTAACTGTGGGAGGGGGGCCCCGGGCGCAGGACTGAGCGGCCGTGCGGGTGTGCAGGCTCCGGGAGAGGGGTTCCGTGTGCGGCTGCGGGAGGCTTGCGCCCTCGGTGGAACGGGGCGGGGGGAAGCGCGCCCGCCTCAGCGTTGGGAGAACTACGCGGGGTAGCAAAGGTGAGCCGCGCCGTGCAGCGCTCGGCACCCCCGGGGCCTGTGTGGGTGCGGGTGTTTGCTGTGGTGCCAGTGGCGGTTTTCCCTGCTCCCTGTGCCGAAGTAGGTGAATGCTGGAGGATTTTACGTTTCTGGACTTGCGGTTGGGCGTCGGTCCTCAAAGCTGAGGGGCTGACCTCCCCCAGCTGAGAAGCGGTGCCCCAGCAGCCCAGCCGCTCCTGCGTGTGTTTCTGCATCAGCGTGCGTGCGGAGGGAGGGCAGGGGCCACCCTGGTCTCTGGGACCTGCGGCTGCGTATGGCTGTGTTTCCTTCCTAGCCAGTGTAGTCTGGGGGGACTCCGGGGCTCCTGGTTCCATCACTTGCTAGTTGTGTGACTTTGGGAGAGGTCACTGAAATTGCTGCCTCTCGGTTTCACCTGCAAGACGGGGATAATAGTGCTACCGGTCTTAGGTTTGTGGTGAACGTTAAGTGAAACAGTGCCTGACGCAAGTAAGTGATGTATAAATGATAATTGCTCTATTATTAACCTAATAACCCCAAGGATTCCACACCCAGATAATAAAATCCACAGAAAAAAAAAAGCAAAAGGTGGGGCCCCAAAGGAAAAGTTTCAGGTCAACAGATAAAATAACTCTGAAATCCAGGTTGAGCTTAGATTTAGAATTTTCTAGTCAGGGTCCTAGGAGGGCAGGAGCATGAGCCCCACACCTTGCTAGTCAACGTGGACTCTGCTTCAGCTCATGTGGAGCTTGCATTTACTAGAGAGATGAAATTAAATTGATAACAGGTGGCAATAAGTATTTTGAAAAATAAAGCAGGGTGAAGGGATTACAGGGTGACAGTGGGTGCTGTTTTCAGAATCAACACCCAGGCTTCCCGTGGGCGTCTCAGTCAGCTCCAAAGCCAGAAATGGCCGCCGTCAATGACTCCTTGGACTCCTTTGATCAGGGAATGTGAGAGTTTGGCTTTGAGCTTATCAGAGACTTTTCTCCTCCCCAGCACTGAGGTCTGGGCTACAGCAGGGAGAGGTCAGAGCTCCAGCCAGAGACTGGGGCAGTAGTTCTAAACTATGGTTTTGCATTACCATCACCTTGGAAACCTTAAAAGATAAAAATAAAACATGCCTGGGCTCAGTCTTCAGCGATTCTGACTTAATTGTTCTGGCATGGAGCCCAGTCATCAGCATTTATTAAAAAGTTCCCAAGAGATTCCGGTGTACAAACAGGGTGAGAGTTTGTGGGTTCCTCTGGGGCTTCTAGGAATGAAAGAAATTAATTTGATGGAGAGGAGAGGGGAGGAGGGTACCAGTGACTGGTGCTTTCAATATCTTATCAAAGGTAGTCCCAGCAGCTTGGCTTCTCTGCATTAGAGGCATTCCTAGCCCCATCCTGCAAGTAAGGAAATCAAATCTGTCCCCATGCACAGCAGAGAAATGGCAAGGGTGACATTCACATGCAAATCCTGTGTTTTCTGTTACAGCTAGGTGTTTGGAGAAAGTACCTTCCTATATCTCTGGCTTCTGGGGCTGGCAGGTTCAGGGTAGGAGTGATCTTAAACTACTAGACAAGTGTACAGCAAAAAGAAATTCTGGCTGAACAGAAGCAGTGAGCTTGGGTGGGTGTGTAATGGCTGGCTTTCAGGGATGTCCGGACCCACACCCAGCTCAACACCCAGCACAGTCCCACCGTATTGCAGGGATGTGCCGTGAGGGGAGGCATGGCCACTGTCCAGTTACTCTTTGAAGCTTGTTCTCATCCACAGTCTAGCCATTGTCACCTTAGGAGCAAGGATTTAGCTTTGTGCTAAATTGCAAAGCCCTCTCCCAACTGATGGTCTGGGACTCGTAAGACAGGCCAGGTTTACATCCCTGCCCTGAGGCGGTGTGGGATCCAGCCTCTTTGTTTTATTTGTGTTGTTGTTGTTTTGAGGAGGTAATTATACATGCACGATACAGAATGCCAAAGCATAGATAGGGAAGAGTGAGTTTTGAGTTTCCTTTCCCAAGCGTAGTGACCTAGTTCCCTTCCTCAGGGACAACCACTGCTACCAATTTCTTTTGTTTCTCTTTGAGAACTTCTGTGTGCCTTTTCAAACTCATGAATTCATATTGTGTGTTCTGTTTTTTCTAAGCATTTTCTCTATACCTTTTTTTCCCTTATTACACTCTGTCTTGCAGATCATTTCACACAGTACATGTAGAGCAGATTTGTCCGCCTCAGCACAGTTGACATTTTGGGCCAAATCATTCTTTGCTCTGAGTGCTGTCCTGTGCATTGTAGGATGTTTAAAGCATCCCTGGTCTCCACGCAGGAGCGCCAGCTTCTCCCCCGCCTGTGCCAAGCTGGGACAACCACAAATGTTGCCAGACATTGCACGTGTCCCGTGAGGGCATAACTGCCCCCAGCAAAGAACCACTGGTGTATTGCTGCCTTGTTCCTTTTAAGGGCTACATGGTGTCTTGTATGTGCATGTCATAGTCACTCAGCCGCTTTCCTATTGATAAGCAGCTGTTTCCAGTCTCTTGGTGGGAATAATAATGATAATTTTAAAAACTGACGTTTGTAGGGCACTGGCACTGCTCTAAGTGTGTTGCATGTTTTCATCTATTTAATCTATTTAACTTTCACAGCAGCCCTGTGGCTGGTTGCAGAAGCTGACAGTTGAAGAAGCTGAGACCCAGGGAGGACAGGGAGCGGGTCTGCGGTCACACAGGTAGGGGCTGGCAGAGGTGGAAGCTGAACGCAGACAGCCTGACTGCAAATGGACACACTTCATGGAAGGGCTGTGCTGCCTCTTCCTACAGACCCTGTCATTTTACACACATGCAGGGACATCTGAAGACAAATACTAGAAATCAGGTTGCTGGGTTAAAGGCTCTGTGCACCTTCAGTCTTAGAGATACTGCCAAATTGCCAGTTTCTCCAACTAGCACTGTGTGAGAATTCTTACTGCAGCCCTCTTAGGGGGTGTCAGGCTTCCCTGGCGATGCTTGGTGTATACGGACTTTAAAAGGAAAAGAAAGGCAAGAAATAACCATGTGCCCATTGCTGAAGGTGTCTCGTGTAAACTTAACAGCCAAGGGTGAGGTAGGTTTTGTTTACCCCATTGTACAGATGAACAAACTGAGGCTTTGTGTAGCTCTCCCACAGCCAGTAATTGGTGGAGGCAAGCTTTGAATCCAGAAATATCTAATATCAAACTGCTCTTCTTTTCTCCCCAGCTGTGCTGAGTTCCTTGTAGAGAAGTATTTTGTGGACAGGAATCGTGCTTCTTCAGTTTGGGGTGTGTGACTGAGCACAAACAGCTATGAGAAAACCCAGGCCGGACACGGTGCCGGTTCCTGGAGCAGTCCGTTTTACTTGAGGACTCAGAAGAGCCAAGCGATGTACTTGTCTGGTAAATAACTTAAAACAGGATTTATATATTAACTCAGGTTTATCATGATGCAGGATGCAAAAGTGGTATGGATGTTTTAAAACAGAAGATTTCAGGATTTTGTGTCATGGGCAGCTGCTCTGGGGTGTGTCCCAGACCACAGAGCTAGTCATTAACCCTCCACTACTGTGTGTGACAGAGTCTTGGACACCTGAATTCTCTCTGACCCTGTGACAGCAGTGTGCTGGATAATTTGTAGCATCTGCCAATTTCCATGGTATAAATAATCCCACCAGGGCCCACTGTAAGCTATCAAAGCAATGTCACTGAGCACACAGCTGGAGAGGTGTGCACAACGGATTTGTGTAAGCTGGGGCAAGCCAGCTCCAGCACTGCCACTTGGCCTCTGAGGGCTTCTGACTAACATCTCTGCGTAGAGGAAGGTTAATGCCTAGCTCTGTGGTCTGGGACACACACCCAGTGTATTTGCCACATAGTCACCAAAAAAATTGATTAAACGTTAAGGCAGCCACATCACTCCGTCACTCCTCTGCTCAGCTACACCCACCCCTCCACCCCCTGCAGTGATACCTTATCATGCTTAGAATGAAATCTGAGCTGCCTGTCACCTCTTCATGACCTGGCCCCTCCTGACCTCAGCCACCTCCTCGCCCACCACTCCCCACCTCACTCACTCTTTCAGCAGACCTACCTTCTCTCCTCCCTCCACATGCTAAGCGTGTGCCTGCCGCAGGGCCCTTGCACCTATTGTGCCTCTACCCAGAATGCTCTTCTCCCAGTGCCCAAGTAGCTCACACTGGCACTACATTTACACCGCAGTGTTGCCTCCTCTGAGAGGCCTTTCCCAAGCACCCCTCACTCCCCGCCCTGCTCGGGTCCTTTCTTCCTTCAGGGCTGTGATCTCAGCTAACCCTGTGCTCTGTGTGGCCCTGTCTTCCCTACTGGGATGTAAGGTGCATGGGAGCCATACTTCTGTGCTCTGACTCTGCTCTCCCCAGCGCCTGGGGCAGTGTCTGGCGCCTGGTTGGCGCTCAGCAAACACTTGTCAGGGGGAAGAGCGGGTGGCCACATGTCTCACTTGCCTCCTGATCCGGCACCTCCTGTGATCTTAGGAGCGGAGAACGTTGGCTTTGGCCCCTCCCTGATCCTGAGAAGGGCAGGAATGCTTCAGATGTTCTGGCCTTCCATGTGTGTGTGTGTGTGTGACCGGGTCTGGGGCCTAGGGAGTCTTATCCTAGAGACTCTGGGACCACCCACAAGGCCCAGTCAGCCTCATGACTTCTCTCCCAGCCCCACCATCTCAGCACTCCACTCCTCTGCAGAAGGAAAGGATGCCTGCTGCACGCGGGAAACCCAAGTCCAAGGTAAGTAGAGATTCCTCTTTGGGAAAGTTCCATCCTGTGAGAAACCATTTGCTTTCTATGCATGGGAACATCCTGCCCCACAGAGACCCAGCTGAGACCTAATCCCTGTGTCCTCCTGTCACCGCAGGGGGCAGGAGCCCGAGAAGGGCTCCAGGGAGCCGCAGCCCCTGCCAGCCCCCGGCCTCCCCCTCAGCGTGTGCATGATCATCTGCCTGTGCATCCAACATCTCCAGGGCCTCTGCCTGCGCTGGGAGACACGGCCTCCCCAGGAGAAGAGCAGAGCCACCGTGACTTCTTGAGGTGGCTGTGCGTGCCCAGGTGTGACCTGCTGGGGCAGAGGAGGACTGGATGTGCGCTGCAGAGTTAATCTCTTCATGTTGCTTTGCTTTCGCTGGTACAACCCATATTCACAAGGAGGATGCCTCTCTAACTTTGAGACTCCTCATAATCCTGTATTCAGGTTGAGTTAGTTGGAGCCGGGCCAGGGAGTCAACCTCCTGTAATCATGTTTCATCAGTTTCGATGATCAAGTAAGCCAGGTATAGTAAGATTTCTCGTAATCAACACGTCTGCCCTCTAAGTTACGTGTATTCGTTCCCTATTGCTGCTATAACACATTACCACAAACTTGGCCATCCAGAACAGCACACGTTGTGGTTATCACACAGTTGGTGGGCCGGAGGTCAGGCACAGCATGACTTAGCTGGATCCTCCTCGTTGGGTCTCACAAGGCTGAAATCAAGGCGTCAGCTGGCTGTGGTCTCCACTGAGGCTCAGAGTCCTCTTCTGGACTCATTCGTTATTGACAAAATTTAGTTCCTTCTCCCACTTCCCTTGTGGCCCGCTTCTTCCACCTTCAAACCAGCAACAACAGGTCAGACCCCACTCATGCCTCAGATCTCCTCAGCTTCCCTTTCTGCTCTCATCTTCCACCAGCTAGAGAAAATTCTTTGCTCTTGCGGGCTCCTGTGATGACGTTGGCCCACCCAAATAATCCAGGCTCCTCTCCGTTTTATGGTCAACTGGTTAATAACCTTGATTTCATCTGCAAATAACCTTTTTGGGGGGAGGTTAATTAGGTTTATTTATTTATTTATTTAAAAATTTTTTTCTCCTTAATGGAGGTACTGAGGATTGAACCCAGGACCTCATGTATGCTAGGAATGCACTCTACCACTGAGCTGTACCCTCCTCACTGCAAATAACGTTTTGCCATGTGTAACGCACTCACACGAGGTTAGGGACGTGAATCAGTAGCCAGACTGCTCAGATTGAACCTCAGCTCCTCCACTTACAAGCTGTGAGACCTTCAGCAGGTCACCTCGCCCCTCTGGGCCTCAGTTTCCTCATCTGTCACATTGCTGTGATCCTCTCAGCAGTGCCCCAGTCACTGGCTAGCATGAGCCAGTATGTGCAGGGTACTTAGAAAAAGGCCTTGTCTTTGTCAGTGCCCAGTAAATCCAAGTTGATACGTTTTTTATGCAATACAATCTTTAATAACAGATATATTACATTGTGTTTTATTTAATACACCTTCCCCTTTTGGCCTGAGACCTGCAGATGTTTCCTTAGTAGAGTCCTGGCACTGTACACCTCCCATCTGGGCAAGTCATTTTCTCCAGCCATGTGGAAGCACAAACCCATGGTGAAAGGCCATGTGATTTTCCATTTCAGGCACCAGTGACATTTGGGGATTTGGCCATCTACTTCTCCCAGGAGGAGTGGGAGTGGCTGAGCCCCATTCAGAAGGATCTGTACGAAGATGTCATGTTGGAAAACTACCAGAACCTGGTTTCTCTCGGTAAGGCTCTCCTCCCATAGTGCACAGCTGGCCCGTTGACAGACATGAATCAGTCTAGTCAGGAACACAAGCCACTCCACATTTGTTTTGCTTTTTAATAGTCTTACTGAAGTATAATTCTCATATTATACAGTTCACCTATATAAAATATGTAATTCATTGGCTTTTAGTGTATTCACAGAGCTGTGCACCCAATCACTACAGTCAATTTTAGAACATTTTAATTACCTCCAAACCCCACACCTATTAACTAGAAATCACCTTTCATTTCCCCCTGCCCACTAATCCCCGCAGATTAGGCAAACACGAATCCACTTTCTGTCTCTCTGAATTTGCCTATTCTTGGCCTTACATAGAGAGAGAATCATGACTGTGTGTTCTTTTGTGTCTGGCGTCTTTCACTCAGTGTTTATTTTTGGTGTTCATCTACATTGTAGCATGTGGTCAGATAACAGACCACATTTTGTTTGTCCATTCACCAGTCAATGGGCATTTGGGCTGTTTCCACTGTGTGGCTGTTATGAATCTGCTGCTGTAATGAATCTGATTTGTTCAAGTACAAATCTTCATGTGGACACACATTTTCATTTCTCTTGGGTATATACCTAGGAGTGGTATGTGCCGGTCATATAGTAACCATACATGTAACCTTTTGAGGACGCCCAGGTTGTCTTACGAGCAAGAATATAAAGAATTGACTTATTGTTAAAAGGTGAGTGTCGGACACTGAGATAACACAGAGATGGTTATGGCCACCATCCTCGGGCTGAGGGGACAGAGGGAGGAGTTTGGAGTTTTTAGGACATCGAGGAAGGGACTCAGACTTCTGGAGGCGAGGGGTGCCGTGCCTGGTTTGTTTATCCTCCTGAGGAGGCGAGATGAGGGTAGTTCTGGGAGAGCAGGGAAAAAAAGGAAAGCAGAAATTGAAACCACCAGTGCCCCTACTGGTGGACACTGCCAGGGAGTGGCGGGTGTAGAAGTGTGGGTTGCAGGGCCCAATACTGTGCACTGCAAAACAGGTCAGAGAGTGGTGGGCTTTGGAGTGGAAAGGCAGTAGCTGAATAGCCAGCTTCAGGAGTTTCTGGTCCAACTTTTCAGGAAAACTGTTGGCTTTGTAGAGTTAGAAATGAACAGCTCTGCTGGCTGTGACTGACCTTTCATCCTTATTCTCCATCTGCCCTTCACATCCTCGGTGCTCCTTTTGTGCTGATAACCCCCCATTTCTGTTGATACTAAAGCTGTGGTGCCCACATCATACTCAGTCCAGTGTCTCCCTGTGTGCAGGACTTTCCTTTCGGAGGCCAAATGTGATTGCCTTACTGGAGAAAGGGAAAGCGCCCTGGATGGTGGAGCCAGTGAAAAGACGCCGGGGCTTGGGTGAGTGACAGAGAACCAGGGCTTAGAAGCTGACGTTCCGTGCGAGCGTTCCCTCCACCATGAGTGGGCAACATCTTTAAGATAATAGTTGAGAGCGACTTTCTCCACCTCTGAGTCCCCAGGCCTGTGCAGAGAACTCAAGTCTCTTCAGTGTGAGCCCCCAGAGGGAGAATAACCAACATTTAATAATCCCCTTACTAGATATCAGACATTCTTCTAAGTACAGTTTCCTCCCAACAACCCTGTAAGGTAGGTACTATTACTCCTATTTTATAGATGAGGAAACTGAGGACCAGAGAGGTTCAGAGATTTGCCCAAAGTCACCCAGCTTGGAAGAGTGGCAATACAGCTGGATTTGAACCCAGGTTTCTGGTCTCAAGCTCAGCTTTTAATAGCCTTATCCCCACCTATCAGGTCCCCTACCTTGGCTTTCATGTTTCCCTTCAGAGAATGTGTATTCTGACCTCTCTAAATATAGCATTTCCGATGATAATGTTCAAACTTCATTCCTTAAAAAGACTTTTCCATAACTTTAGTTTGACTATTTGTCAAGAACTCATTCAGTTTTCTAATAGATTCTTCTTCAGCTGGTCAAGTTATGTTTTTCAATTGTGGTGAAAAAAAACACATAAATTAACCATTTAAAAATATACATTATGTATATTCACATTGTTGTGAAGCTATCTCTGGAACTTTTAAATTTTGCAATACTGAAACTCTATACCCACTAAGTAGTATACTTTCCCACCCCTTCATTCAGCCCTTGGTATGATATTGACTCCTATAGATACTTACACAAATGGAATTTTACAGCATTTGACTTTTTGTGACTGGCTTTTTTCTTAGCATTGTGTCCTCAGGGTTCATCCGTGTTGTAGTATATGACAGGATTTTTTCTTTTTAAAGGCTACATAATATTCCATTGTACGTATGTACCACATATTCTTTATCCATTCATCTGTCAGTGGATATCAGGGTTGCTTCCACCTCTTGGCTACTGTGAATCATGCTTCAGTGAACATGGGGGCATAGATATCTCTTCGAGATCGTGATTCCAATTTCTTTGGCTGTATACCCAGCTGTAGAGCATATGGTAGTTCTGTTTTTAATTTTCTGAGGAACCTCCATACCATTTTCCACAGTGGCTGCACCATTTTTCATTTCCACCAACAGTACACAAGGGTTCCAACTTCTCATTCTTGCCAGCCCAGCATTGGTTATTTTCTGTTTTTCTGACAGTGGCCATCTTTATGGTGTGAGGTGATACTGTGGGTTCAGTTTGCATTTCCCTAATAATTAGTGATGTTGAACATCTTTTTACATGTTTATAGGCCATTTATCTATCTTTCTTGGTGAAATGTCTATTCAAATCCTTTCCCATTTTTTAGTAGGGTTGTTTGTCTTCTGTTTTTAAGTTTTAGTTCTTTATATATTCTGCATATTAACCCCTTATCAGATATATGATTTGCAATATCCATAGGTTGCCTTTTCACTGTGGTTTTCTTCGACATGCAAAAGTTAAGTTTGATGTAGACTGATTTGTGTTTTTTTTTTCTTTCCTATGCTTTTGGTGCCATATTCAAGAAATCAGTGCCGAATTCAATGTCCTGAAGCTTTTCCCTTATGTTTTCTTCTAGGAGTTTAATAGTTTTACGTCTTACACTTAGGTCTTTAATCCATTTTAAGTTAGTTTTTGTATATGTCATAAGGTAAGGGTCCAGGTTTATTCTTTTGCATGTACATACCCAGTTTTCCCAGTGTCATTCATGAAAGGAACTGTACTTTCAGGCTTGGTACCCTTGCTGAAAATCATTTGATCAGATATGCAAGGGTTTATTTCTGGGTTCTCTATTCTTTTCCGCTGGTCTGTGTATCTGTCTTTATGCCACTACCACACCATCTTAATTACTGCTGCTTTGTGGTGTGTTTTGAAATCAGGAAGTGTGAGGCCTCCTACTTTGTTCCTCTCTTTCAATATTGTTTTGGTTATTCAGTATCCCTTGAGAGTCCACATGAATTTTAGGACTTTTGTCTATTTCTGCAAAAATTGTTACTGGGATTTTGAGAGGGATTGCACTGAATCTGTAGATAACATTGTATGGACATTTTTACAATTTTAAGTCTTCCAATCCACAAGCAGAAAATGTCTTTCCATTTATTTGTATCTTTGACTTCTTTTAGCAATGTTTATAGTTTTCATTGTACAACTCTTATCACTTTGGTTAAACCTATTCCTAAATATATCCTTTTTGATGTTATAGTAAATGGGATTGTTTTCTCAATTTCCTTTGCAGAGTGGTCATTGTTAGTGTATAGAAAGACAACTGATTTTTGAGTGTTGATTTTGTATCCTGCTGCTTTACCAAATTCTTTTATTGATTCAAAAAGTTTTTGGTGTAAAATCAAAGTAGTTCCTTCTCTTCCTAGTTTGTTTAGTGTTTTTCATCATGAAGGGGTATTGAATTTTGTCAAAAGCTTTTTCTGCATCAGTTGAGATGAACATGTGTTTTTATGGGCCTTTAATTTGTTAATGTGATATATTACATCCATTTACCCATATTGAACTATCCTTGCACTCCAGGTATAAATCCCACTGGCTCATGTTTACGATCCTTTTAATGTGCTGTTGAATTTGGTTCACTAGAATTTGTTTAGGATTTTTGCATCAATTTTCATCAGGGATATTGGTCTGTAGTTTTTTCTTGTGATGTGTCTGGTTTTGGTTTTAAGGTAATGATGGCCTCATACAGTGCATTAGTATTCCCTCTGCTGCAGTCCTTTGAAAGAGATTATGGAGAATTGGTATGATTTCTTCCTTAAATGTTTGGTAGGATTCACTAGTGAACCCATATGGGCCTGTTGCTTTTTTCTTCAGAAGGTTGTTAATTACTGATCAAGATTTTAAAATAAATATATGCCTATTCAGATCATCTTACTCTTCTTGTGTGAGTTTTGGCAAATTGTGTCATTTAAGGAATCATCTAGGTCATCAGATTTGTAGGCATAGAGTTGTTCAGTTTTCCATTATTATACTTGATGAAATCTGTAATGATATGCCCTCTTTGATTTCCAATATTAGCAATTTGTGTCTTCTCTCTGTTAGGTAACCTAGCTAGAGACTTAACAATTTTATTAATTTTTAAAGAACCAGCTTTTGATTTTATTGTATTTCTTTATTGATTTCCTGTTTTCAATTTCAAAGATTTGCTCTAATTCTTATTATTTTTTTCTGCTTACTTTGGATTTAATTTGCTCTTTTTTCTCTAGTTTCCTAAGTGGGAAACTTAGATTATTGACTTTAGATCTTTGTTCTTTTCTAATATATGCATTCAATGCTATAAGTTTCCCTCTAAGACCTACTCACTGCATCTCACACATTTTTTGTAACTTGTGCTTCCATTTTCATTTAGTTCAAAATATTTAAAAATTTTTCTTGAGATGTCTTCTTTGACCCATGTGTTATTTAAAGTGTGCTGTTTAATCTCCAAGTATTTGAGGATTTTCCAGTGATCTTTTTGTTCATGATTTCTGGTTTAATTTCATTGTGGTTTGAGAGCAGGCTGTATGGTTTCTATTCTTTTAAATTTATTAAGGTGTGTTCTGTGGCCTATCTTGGTGAATGTGGTCTATCTTGGTGAATGTTCCATGTAAGCTTGAGAATAATGTTAATTCTGCTGTTGGGTGAAATAGTCTATAGATGTCAGTTATATCCATTTGAATGATGGCATAACCACTGTGTCTTTACTGATTTTCTGCCTGCTAGGTCTGTCTATTTCTTGTGGGAGGAGGGTGTTGAAGTCTCCATCTATAATAGCGGATTCATCTCTTCCTCCTTGCAGTTCTATTGGTTTTTGTCTCATGTAGTTTGATGCTCTGTTGTTAGGTACATACATGTTATCAATTGTTATGTTTTCCTGAAGAATTGTCCTGTTTATCATTATAATGCCCCTCTTTATCCATAATTACTCTCCATGTTTTTAAGCCAGCTGGGAGTTAATATACCTACTCCTGCTTTCTTTTGATTAGTGTCTGCGTGGTCTGTTTTTCTCCATCCATTTACTTTTAATCTATATGTGCCTTTACATCTAAAATGGGTTTCTTATAGACAACATCCAGTTGGGTCATTTTTTTTTGATCCAATCTCTGTAGTCTCTACATTTAGACCATTTACATTCAAAGTGATAATTGATATAACTGAATTAACATCTACCATATTTATTACTGTTTTTTATTTGTTACCCTTACTCTTTGTTCCTGTTTTTGTCTTCCATTCTTTTTCTGCCTTTTGTGATTTTTAAATGAACATTCACATAATTCTACTTTCTATCTTTTCTTAGTATATCAGTTACACTTTTTTTTTCACTTTTTAAACTTTTTTTAGTGATTGCCCTAGAGTTTACAATATACATTTACGGTTAATCCATGTCCATGTTTAAATAACACAATAGCATTTCATGGGTAGTGTGAGTACCTTATAATAATAATGCTAATTCCTCCCTCTTGCCCCTTGTATCAGTGTTGTCATTTATTTCACTTGTGTATAAGTACACATTAACATAAACTTAAGATAATTATATAAGCATACCTATTCACATACATTGTTGCTATTATTATTTTGAATAAAGTGTTATCTGTTAGATCAATAAAGAGTAAGAAAATGGAAGGATTTTTGTGCCTTCATTCATTTCCTTCTTCAATGCTTCTCCTTTCTCTGTGTACATACGAGTTTCTGACTTACATTATTTTACTTCTCTCCAAAGGACTTCTTTTAACATTTCTTGCAAAGCAGGTGTACTGGGAACACATTCCCACAATATTTCTTTATCTGAAAAAGACTTTATATTTTTCTTTAACTTTTGAAGGAAATTTTCACAGGGTACAGAATTCTAGGTTGGTGGTTTCTTTCTCTCAACACTTTAAATATTTTGTTCCACTCTCTTCTTGCTTGCATTGTTTTTGAGAAGTTGAATGTAAATCTTACCTTTGTTCCACTATAGATGGGGTCTCTTTTTCCTCCTGGCTTCTTTCAGGATTTTTTTCTTTGACTTCCTGCAATTTAAAAATGGTATGCCTAGTTACAGGTCTCCTAGATCCTGCTGGGTCTTCTTCAAGTGTCTTGGATCAGTGATTTTGTGTCTGACATTAATTTGGTGAAATTCTCAGTTATTATTCCTTCAAATGTTTTTTCTCTTTTTTCTCCTCCTTCTTCTGGTATTCCCATTGCACGTATGTTCCATTACACATGTGTCTTTTGTAGTTGTCCCTCAGCCTTTGGCTGTTATGTTTATTTTTTTTCCAGATTTTGAGTATTTTATTGATAAATCTTTTAGTGTGTAGAATCTTTCCTCAGCTGTGTCAGATCTACCAAAAAGCTCATCAAAGGCATTATTTCTGTTAAATTGTTTATGATCTCTTAACATTTCATTTTGGTTCTTCCTTAGAATTTCCATCTTTCTGCTTACATTGCCCCTCTGTTCTTATACACTATATGCTTCCTCCATTAGAGCTTTTAGCATATTAATCACATTTGTTTAAAATTTCTGGTCTGATAATTCAGACATCCCTGTCATACTTGAGTCTGGTTTTGATGCTTGCTCTGAGTCTTCAGGTTGTGTTTTTTGCCTTTTGGTATGTCTTGTAATTTTGTTTCTTGATAGCTGGCCATGATGTACCATTTAAAAGGAACTGCTGTGAATAGGCCTTTAGTAATGTGATAGTGAGGTGGAGTCGTGCGGAAGCATTCTATAGTCCTGCGATTAGATTTTAAGTCTAGTGAGCCTGTTCCTCTGGACTGTGAATATCACAAGTGATGCTCAGTTTTCTCCTCCCCTCTTAGGTGGGACAGGCTGTCTAAAGCCAGTTGGAGTTGGGTATTTCCCTCCCCAGGTCAATTAGGCTCTGATATAACCTCAGCCTGGTAGGCTGTGGCTACCTAGTGGCCCCTGAGGGCAGGCCTTGTTAAGAGGGACAGATTGGTATATTTCAAAATTACTCTTTTTCCCCTGTATTTAAGGCGAGAATCTGATCAATCTCCTAAAGGTAAATCTCGCAGTGCTGTTTGGGTCCCTCATAACTAGGTGCCTCTTGAGTCTTTAACTCTCAGACTTGTTGGTAGTGAGCCTCTGACAATTTGTTAATCCCAGTTCAGGTTTTTCTACCCGAGAACAGGTTCCCATGGTGGTTTTCCTTGTGACTCTCTACTCTGATAAGCTGTGACTCCCTGTATTCTTCACCTTCCTCTCCAGTCTTGGAGGAACTGGTTTGCCCTGTGTCCTCCCCTTTCTGATAGATTCAAGAGAAGTTGTTGGTTTTACCATATGTTAAGCTTTTTACTTGTTAGGACAAAATGGTGACTTCCAAACTTTTACATGGGGAGTCAGAAACCATAAGTCCAGTTTGTTTGTTTGTTTGTTTTAAAGATTTGATTTCATGAATGTATTTTTAAAATGTACAACTTTATTGAGACATAGTTTACATATTGTAAAATTCACCCATTTTAAGTGTATAATTCAGTAGTTTTTGATAAGTTTACCAAGTTGTGCCACCATTACTGTAATCTAGTTTTAGAATATTTTTATCACCTCAATAAGATCCCTCGTGCCCACCTCCAGCCCTGGGCAACCACTAATTTGCTTTCTGCCTGTAGTTTACCTTCTGCCTTTTCTGGATGCTTCATATAATAAAGCTGTATGATCTAATGAACAGTCTGTGGAGTTTAATGTCGTATATGGTAAAAGTTTGTTCTGTAAGTAAAACTTCATTCATTCATTTCAAATTGCAAGCTTTCCTGAATTTCAGTTGTGAAGTATTTCTGTAAAGCCCTTACTATGTTAAAACCATAACACAACACTAAAAAGTTACTCTTCTGATCATCATCGTTGTCATTATGATTGAGAAAGATTGCATGGAAGCTCCACTTTTCTAGCACAGGAAAACAAACATTGAATTTCTTGATGTCTTTCAGACTCAGGGTCTAAATGTGAGACCAAGAAGTTACCTCCAAGTCAAAGCAACAAATCTGGGCAAAGCATCTATCAGAAACCAGTTTCTGCACCACAGAAAGTTCCCACAGGAAAGAGAGGCTGCAAGAAAAATTCAGTCCTAATAAAACCCAAGAAAGTGCATTCAGGAAAGAAAGCTTTAAAATGTAATGACTGTGGGAAATCCTTCAGTCAGAGCTTCTCTCTTCAGCTTCATCAGAACTCTCATGCTGGAGAGAAGCCTTATGAGTGCAGTAGTTGTAGAAAAGCATTCAGGCAGATCTCATCCCTCATTCTTCACCAGAAGATTCACGTTGGAAGGAAAAGCTATGAATGTGGCAGATGTGGGGAAAGCTTCGCTCAGAGAGCAACGCTTAGTCTACATGGAAAAACCCATGATGAAAAGGAAATCTTTGACTGTGGGAAAACCTCGAGTCAGTGTCCACCTATCAGTATACGTCAGAAAAGTCACTTTGCTGAAAATGTCCACCAGTGTGGAAAATGTGGGAAAGCCTTCATTCGAATGTCATCTTTTTTACTTCATAAGAAGATTCATAATGGAAGGAAAATACATAAATGTAGTAAGTGTGGGAGAGGGTTCAATAAGAAATCAGTCCTTGTTATGCATAAAAGAATTCATACTGGAGAGAAAACTCATGAAAGTGAGAACGCCTTAAGTCAGAGTCTACAGCAGAGAAGCCACCATTTAGAGAATCCTTATAAATGCAGAAAATGCGGCAAATCTTTTAATAGGATTTCATCCATCATGCTCCATCAGAGAATTCACGCTTCAGAGAAACCCTACAGATGTGATAAATGTGAGGAGGTCTTCAGGCGGCTTTCAACCCTTATTCTACATCTCAGAATTCACAGTAGAGAGAAGCTGTACAGATGCAATAAATGTGAGAAGGTCTGCAATCGGCATTCCTCCCTTGTTCAACACCAGAAAGTTCATGCAAAGAAAAAGAAACTGTTTGAATGTAAGGAATGTGGGAAGATGTTTTCTGGAACTGCCAACCTTAAAATACATCAGAACATTCATTCTGAAGAGAAACCTTTCAAATGCAATAAATGCAGTAAAGTTTTTGGCCGCCAGTCATTTCTTATTGAACATCAGAGAATTCATACTGGAGAAAAACCCTATCAGTGTGAGGAATGTGGGAAAGCCTTCAGTCATCGAATCTCTCTTACTCGACATAAGAGAATTCATACTGAAGATAGACCCTATGAATGTGATCAGTGTGGGAAGGCCTTCAGTCAGAGTGCACACCTTGCCCAACATGAAAGAATTCACACTGGAGAGAAACCATATACATGCAAAACGTGTGGGAAGGCCTTTAGTCAACGCACATCCCTTATTCTCCATGAAAGAAGTCATACTGGAGAGAAACCCTATGAGTGTAACGAATGTGGGAAGGCATTTAGCAGTGGCTCAGATCTCATTCGGCATCAGAGAAGTCATTCTTCAGAGAAGCCCTATGAATGCAGTAAATGTGGGAAGGCATACAGTCGGAGCTCATCCCTCATTCGGCATCAGAATACACATTCCGAAGAAAAAGCTTAAGATTGTTTTCAATGTGTAAAAGCAAAGAGGGAGGCTAGCAAAGTAGCGGAGAGAGAGGCATGGGGGGAAAGGCATTTGTCTGTACATAAATTGAATAAAAACTGGACAGTTTGATGACATGTCCCCCTTTGGAAGCCAAAGAGCAAAAGTCATTGGTGACTTTTGACCTGATGACTTGAAATCAACTGAGGCAGTGGCTTTATCCTAATTTCAACATAGCAAGCTTAGTTGATTGGATCAGCCATTTTTAATGAAGAGCATTCTTCATTTGATAAAAGTTACTGATAACTTTATTTCCAATATAATTTTATTTCATTGGTCACATACGACAAAGTGAATTATAAATCCATTTTTCTGGATGGGACTTTGAACCTGATTTAAGGTCACATGAATAGTTTTGAGTTTGTTCCTTAGAACTAGAAGTATCACGGAAGGGATTTCCTCGCAAACTGGAGTGCCATTTTCAGCTGACAGAAATTCGTGGGTGAGAATAAAGAAGACTTGGGGAAAGATAACACATAATTGTGTGGAACAACAGGGTCATTACCATACTGCCTCCATGGATATGAAGATACATAATCTTCATGGTGTGAAAAATATAATAAGCCTGAGATAAGCTGATGGGGAAAAAACCCAGCATGAACTGAAGAATGAAGAACTTCAGAGCAGGGAGAAATTACTGTTTTATTTGAAAATAAATTTGTCTATATTTATATGAATAAACATTGGTATTTTCATGTAAGAACACTGGTGTGCAGTAAGTGATTGGTGGAGATGTCATGGACTAAATGTGTTGTCCCAAAATCGATATGTTAAAACCCTAACCCTCAATGTGATGGCTTCTGGAATTGAGGCCCCTGGGAGATAATTTGGGATAGATGAGGTTATGAGGGTGGGGCTCTCATGATAGGATCCGTGTCTTTAAAAGAAGGGACACCAGAGAGATTGCACTCTCTCTCGTTCCTCTGCCATGTAAGGACGCAGCAAGAAGGTGGCTGTCTGCAAGGCAAGAAACTAGCCCTCACCAGTACCCAACCTTGTTGCAGCCTGATTTCAGACCTTCAGCCTCAGAACTGTGAGAGATGAATTTCTTTGAGTCACTCAGTCTGTGGTAATCTGTTGTGGCAGCCCAAGCTGACTAATACATGGGAAAACCCTGCATTTGTGTGCCAGGCTCTTTTTTTGTCAGCTGTTCACCGTGTTATGTAATCGCTTTCAGCCTTTCTCCCACTTGTGCAAAACGTGTAAGAAATAAAGTCAGTCCTTTTTTGTAATTGAGTTGTATACAGTTGGACTCTTCTGTGTAAGTTTCCCTTTGGCCAAAGCCACTCTTAAAAGCATCAGCCCCTCGTCAAGACAGCTCTGTGGAATGTACAGCTACGTGGCTAGGTCAGCCTAACTGTGACCACAACTGAGAACACAGCTGGATTTGCGGAGGGTGAGTATGCCTGCAGGATAACAGAGCCATTAATTTTCCATCTAAACTTGTCCTACCAGTGTGGAGAATCAGCATAAAAAAAATCAACACTTGAAGCAAAAGGGTGAGCAAGCAATACAGAGAAGGCTCATGGAGGGGCAGGTCTTTTCTCCCTACCCTTCTATATACACCCCCCCTCGACTTTATTAAGTCCTGCCAGTCTGCCGTAGAGGTTGGTTCCGAATCAATGGTCACAAACAATACATGTCACAAATACTAGTTAGGCACTGTTCTTGCCTGCAGACACAGTTTACTGGGGAGTATAGGATACTTAAATATGGAAACTAGGTGAAGAGTATAGAGGGTGATGATTGCATGGTGTTGGGTCACTTGTGGAGATGGTGATAGCATTAAAGGGACAGTAGGTATTTGCTGGGCACACAGAAGTGGCAAGGCTGTTGAAGGCAAGAGAGGATGTAGGGATGTAGAAAATAATGACGGGATTGTGGAGCATTAAAGGAGTCACATGTTCCAGCATTTAGTACAGTGACTGGCACATAGGAAGTGGTAAGCACGCAAGCAGTGCTTGATGAACAAACGAATGAATGAAAATAGTTTAGCTGGACTGTCTCTGAGGCATATTCCAAAGGGAAAATTTAAATGTTGAAGGTTATCCAAACATTGAGGTAAACCCTAGGGAAAGCGAGCCCTCACTCTAAGGAATCACTAGTGAGTTTTGAAGGCTGTGGTGAGTTTAGGGTAATCATCGCAAGCAGCAACCTGAAACCTAGTCCAGTTTTTAACTATATTCATGAAAACCTACACTAAAGGCTTACCAGGAGGACTGGCGTGACCATTTCCAGGAATTAAATCTGTTTACCTCTGTTTCTACTATCCTACACAAGATACCTGGCTTTTGGCAAAAGTAAAATTTACAAGGTATACAAAAGTGCAAGAAAAATCAGTACTTCCCACGAAGAGACAAAGCAATTCAGAACTAGCCTCAGACCACCTGACAGTTTTAAGCAACTGTGAGGAGTATGTTAAAGGCCCTACTGAGAAAGGCACAGGAGGCAAATGAGGTGGATCATTTGAGCAGAGAGCTGGGACTGCGAGAATCAAATGAAGAAATGAAGAACACGGTAAAGAGAGGAGTAATACCTTCTACAGGTTCATCGGTATACGTGACACGGCCAGGGAAAGAGTACAGGAAGGTAGGGCAATAAAAATAAGCCACGTGAAGCACAACGTGGGGGTAGGCGTGACAAAAAGGAACAGACCATACCAAAACTGGGGGAAGGTCTGTTGGTCCAACACATAACATAATTGGAATCCCAGAAGAAATAGAGAAAATAGGGCAGATAAATAATGGATACTAACACTAGAACACAAATCTACAAAGCTCAAAGAATACCAGGAAATATTTTTAAAAAGACATTACATAGGAACGAAGAAAATGAATTACAGCAGAATTATGAGAAATAATGTAAACTAGAGGACACTGTGATGACATCTGCAAAGTACTGAAAAGAAAAAGGCTTTCTTTTTTTTGCAGAAAAAATATATATATTGAAGTAGAGTCAGTTTACAATTTTGTGTCAATTTGTGGTGTACAGCATGGTTCAGTCATGCATATGCATACATATATTCCTTTTCCTATTTTTCATTATAGGTTATTAAAAGATACTGAATATAGTTCCCTGTGCTGTACAGAAGAAACTTGTTTATTTTATATATATTAGTTAGCATCTGCAAATCTCGAACTCCCAATTTATCCCTTCCTACCCCCTTCCTGCCCCTGGTAAACCATAAGTTTATTTTCCATGTCTGTGAGTTTGTTTCTGTTTTGTAAATAAATTCATTTGTCTTTTTTTTAAGATCCACATTTAAGTGATATCATATGGTATTTTTCTTTTTCTTTCTTTCTGACTTCCTTCACTTAGAATGACAATCTCCATGTCCATCCATGTTGCTGTAAATGGCATTATTTTATTCTTTTTATGGCTGAGTAGTATTCCATTGTATAAATATACCACAACTTCTTTATCCAGTCATCTATTGATGGACATTTAGGTTGTTTCTATGTCTTGGCTGTTGTAAATAGTGTTGCTGTGAACACTGGGGTGCATGTGTCTTTTTGAATTAAGGTTCCCTCTGGATATATGCCCAGGAGTGGGATTGCTGGATCATATGGTAAGTCTGTTTTCATTCTTTTGAGAAATTTCCATACTGTTTTCCTTAATGGCTGCACCAAACTATATTCCCACCAACAGTGTAGGAGGGTTCTCTTTTCTCCAAGCCCTCTCCAGCATTTATTGTTTGTGGACTTTTGGGTGATGGCCATTCTGACTGGTGTGAGGTGATACCTCATTGTTGTTTTGATTTGCCTTTCTCTAATAATTAGTGATATTGAACATATTTTCATATGCCTATTGGTCATTTGTATGCCTTCAATGGAGAATTGCTTGTTTAGGTCTTCTGCCCATTTTTGGATTGGGTTTTTTTTTTCTTATTAAGTTGTATGAGTTGTTTATATATTCTGGACATTAAACTTTTGTCATTTCCATCACTCCCTAGGAGGTGCAAATTTCAAACTCCCAATTTATCCCTTTCCACCCCCTCTACCGCCAGTAAACATAAGTTTGTTCTCTCTGTCGGTGAATCTGTTTCTGTTTTGTAAATAATTTCGTGTGTGTGTGTGTGTTTTAAGATTCCACATATGAGTGATAGTATATGGTATTTTTCTGTCTCTTTCTGGCTTACTTCACTTAGACAATCTCCAGGTCCACCCATGTTGCTGCAAATGACATTTTTCTTTTTATGGCTGAATAGTATTCCATTGTATAAGTATACGACAACTTCTTTATCCAGTCATCCGTCAATGGACATTTAGGTTGTTTCCATGTCTTGGCTGTTGTAAATAGTGCTGCTGTGAACATTGGGGTACATGTATCATTTCAGATTATATTTTTCTCTGGACATATGCTCAGGTTCAAAAGCATTTTAAATACCCTGCATTTGTGCTCTCCTCCCTTCATGATCACTGTTTTTAATACCACATTTTACATTTAATTCTTCTGTGTATCCCTTAACTGCTTGTTGTGGATACAGATGATTTTACTGCTTTTGTCTTTTAACCTTCCTGCTGGCTTGTGTGTGGGTGACTTCCTACCTTTACTGTGTGTTTGCCTTTACTGGTGGGCCTTCCATTTTGTAATTTTCTTGTTTCTAATGTGGCCTTTTCTTGTCCATCTAGAGACGTTCTTTTAGCATTTGTTGTAAAGATGGTTTGGTGGTGCTCAATTCTTTTAGCTTCTGCTTGTCTGTAAATCTTTTGATTTCTCCATCAAATCTGAACGAGAGCCTTGCCAGGTGGAGTATTCTTGGTTGCAGGCTTTTCCCTTTCATCGTTTCAAATACATGCTTTAAATATATCACTTGCTTTAAATATATCATGCCACTCCCTTCTGGCCTTCAGAGTTTTAGCCAAAAAATCAGCTCATAGTCTTAGGGGAGTTCCCTTGTATGTTATTTGTTACTTTTAATATTCTCTCTTTAATTTTTGTCATTTTAGTTACAGTATGTCTGGGCATGTTCCCCTTAGGGTTGTTCCTGTATGGGACTCTCTGCAATTCCTAGACCTGGGTGGCTGTTTTCTTTCCTAGGTCAGGGATGTTTTCAGCCAGTTTGTCTTCAAATGCTATCTCAGGACCTTTCTCTCTCTTCTTCTTACAAGTGTGTTTGGTGTTGTCGCAGAGGTCTCCTAAACTGTTCTCATTCTTTTCATTGTTTTCTCTTTTTTTCTGTTGTGCTGTAGTGTCTTCCAGCTCACAGATCCGTTCTTCTGCCTCACTTAGTCTACTGTTGATTCCTTCTAGTATATTTTTTAATTTCAGTTATTGTATTCAACTCCATTTGGTTGTTCTTTATATTTTCTGACTCTTTGTTTAAAGAAATTCTCACTTCTCGCTCTGCACCCATTCTCCTCCTGAGGCCTTTGATCGCCTTTGTGATCATTACTCTGAACTCATTCTCAGGTAGATTCCTACGTCGTTCACGTCACTTCGTTCTTCTGGATTTTATCTTGCTCCTTTGTAACATATTCCTCTGCTGGCTTATCGTGCCTAAATTTCTATTTGTATTTTTATGTATGTGGTAGGTTAGTTACATTTCTTGACCTTGGAGAAGTAGCCTTCTGTCGGAGATGTCCTATGTTTCCCAGCCATATGCTCCCTTCTCATCACCCAAGGGCCAGGGGCCAGCTGGTCCCAGGGTAGGTTCTGGCCTGCATTTGTGGACTCATTCCGTAGGCTGCTGGATGGTAACGTTCTTGCTTCTGGTGGGTGACACTGGCCCAGTGGCTCGCACAGGCTTCCTGGTGGGAGGGGCCTGTGCCTACCCACTGGCAGATGGAGCTGGGCCCTGGCCCTTGGGTAGGTGGGGTCCAGGGGCATGTTTAGAGGCCGCTGTGGGCCCAGGAAGTCTTTAAGCAGCCTGTCCACTGATGGGTGGGAATGTGTCCCCACTCAGTTGTCTGGCCAGAGACATCCCAGCACTGGCTCCTACAGGCTGTTGGGCGGGACCAGGTCTTGGTACTAAGGAGGCAAGGTCTCAGCCTCCAGGAAGGAGAGTTCATGCACATGAATGCTCCCTGGTACACCCACCACCATTTCTGTTCCCCTGGCTGAGCTACAGCTGCCCCCCAGGAGGCCCCCGAGACCAGCAGGTGGGTCTGGCCCAGGCTTCTGTGAAGTTGCTGCCCTTGCCCTTAGTCGCTGTGAGCATGAGGCTTTGTGTGTGGCCTTTAAGGGTGAAATCTGTTCCCCCCAGTCCTGTGGGGCCCTGCCCTGCAGTTAGGCCTTGCTGGCCTTCACAGCCAGATACTCCAGAGGCTCCTCTCCCCAGGGCCAGGCCTCGAGGCTGGGGAGCCTGGCGTGGGGCCCAGGACTCTGACTCAGGGGTGGGGGTGCTCTGCAGTGCAGTGATTCCCCAACTTGTAGGTCGCCCACCAGCGGGTATGGGGTTTGCTTTTGTCCTGAGAGCACCCCTCCCACCCGTCTTGTTGAGGTTTCCTCTTTATGTCTTTGGTTATGGAAGCTCTTTTCTGGCAGGGGCTGTTTTTTTTACCAGTGGCTGTTCTGCGGTTAGTGTAGGAGGAGTGCTTTTGGTGTGCTCGTGAGAGGAGGTGAGTTTGGCTCCTTCAGAGGGCTGTGAGGGGCCACGGCTCCACTCCTGAAGGCTGCACACACGCACTTCCTTACTCTCTCTTGAGGTTCCTTTCAAAACAGGTGACTCCTACCCTCCTTGTTACTTTCCATCGCCTCCCAGCTCACCCGGCCTCTGCCCTCCCTCACCAGCTCTCTAGGCGTGCGCATTCAAGGGCCTTTTAAGTCTAGTATTGTCAGGGGCTATGTTCTTCCCACCGAGAGACACAGCTGAGAGCAGAGCCGTGCGCTCATCTCCGAGGAGTCTGCACGCTGGCATCCCACCTCCGGCTGTGTGGCTGTGCCACATGCGTTCGCTCTTTTCAGCCTTTTCTCTAAGCTAGTTTGAACTGCGTTTCTGTCAGATTCCTGGTTACAGTTACTGTATTTTTATTTGCAAATTTATCAACTTTATACGCTCTGTGTATCACTACTTGGTTATATCAGCTCCTCTGCTGTAATTTCACTTGAAGCGCAGCTAACCTGCATGTCTCACCCTGTCGATTTTAGACAGTTCTCTTGAGTCCCCTGGGTACGTGAGCATATTGCCCCTCACCCTGGCGTCAGTCTCATTCCCGGCAGCCGCCCATGTGCGACCTGTCAGCTGTGTTTTGCCTTTGCATTATTCAGTAAGTATTAGTTAGATAGAGAGATGCATAGAGTCGGCAGTGACTTGTCTGAAAGTGGGAAGTAAAATAGCATTCAATCATTCTCACCACGTGAGCAGTATTCTCTGAAGAGTGAGAGCCGAGCAGTGTGCGAAGAGTCCACTTCCTCATCTGCAGCTTTGGCGCTGTGATCCAGCACCCACGTAAAGGAGTCTGTTCCTAATAGCACCCATACAGATTTTCCTCACATTCATAGTTATTTTGTAAAGTCATGTCACATTTCATGGGGGCTTGCTTCGTGTTAGGACGACGATGTCTGGTGTGGCGTCTCGTTTTTCCCAGAGCCAATAATTGCCTTTCTTTCCTTCATCCTAAGAGCAAACTTTTGTCTTCACCATAGTACCAAGATCCTCCAACTTCATACTAATTCTATTTAATGAGATCGATCCCATTCCTTCTGAAGCTTTTCTTCGCTGACTCCCAGGATCCCTAGCCGACCAGCAATTCTGCTGCAGAGTCATCATCCTCGTTTATCCTCGCCACCACTTCCCTAGGTTAGACCCACTGCTTGTGGAAGCCTTTCCTGTCTTTCCCTTTCCATCCAAGTTTTGCTAAAGGTAATCATCTAATACTCTAATGAAGGACAAGCGGGAGTAAACTGAAGTAAGCCGCTCAACTGCCTAACAGAATACCGGTACTCGGCCGCACACTGCCCTGCTGTCTGGGCACAGGCGTCTGAACTCAAGAGCAGTTTACCTCGTAAGCCGGAAGGTGCTGCTCTGTGTTCTGTCATCTAATATTGCTCCTGGGAGTTCCCGCTAACGCTGTCTTGATTGTTATTTTTTGGGAGAAATTTGCATTTTTGAAAGCTTGTAGGGAGGGTTCGTCTTTAGTGTGATGAAATGTCACAAGCCTACTTTGGGGTGACTTTTTCCCTGCTGCAGTTGTAGTTTTTGCCATTTCAGCCTGCCCAGTATTCAGTGAGCCATTCCCAGGGGAGCATTCGTACCTTTCTGAGTTTGGAAAGATTCTTAACCATTTATTTGATACATTCCTCTTGTATTTTGTTGCTTGTGTTGTTTTGTTTTGTTTTGTTTTAGGTTTCTCATTGCATGACTTTCCCTACTCTGGGTTTAGCCTGTTTGTTGGTCCTTAGTACTTCCTTCATCTGTGATGATCCTTAGCTGTCTGTTCACATCGAAGAGTGATGTGGTTTGACTACCTGAGGCAGATACAAGAGGCTCTTTGTATAGTCTCACAGTGGATGTTTCCCTCAATGAGAGTTATTGGGGTCTCTGCATTCATGGGAAAGGCAGGCGAGTTGACGCGAGATCCTCAAAATTCTAAAAAATGTTTCAGCCTAGGCCACCAACTCTTCACTCTAGCTGCCCTAGTTCTCCGTAAGTTGTTTTTCATAAATTTTAAAAGATACATGATTATATTCTTATCTAAAACTTCAAACATTACAAATAATAACCTACCCTCTCGATCAAGGTATCCAATCTCAGTTCCTTCCCCAAAGAAACACCAGTTGGATGTGTCTTCATGACTTTTTCCAAGCATTTGCATACTTACATACATTAGAAATATATTTTAAATATATAATACTCTATTATTCTGCACAATTTTCACTTTCAACCAGTGTCCTTTAGTCAGATCCATATGAGTGTTACTGGTCCATTCCTTTAAACTGCTGCTAGTATTTCTAGTCATTTCTCTGCTGATGGAAGTTTAGATTGCTTCCAGCGTCGTGTGCTGACCATGCTGCCCTCCCAAGGGGCTAGAGTGAACATTTTAAGAACTCCTATACCTCCAAAGTCACAGTGATGAGAGTATTCATTTCTCCATGCAACTGCCAAGTTTTTATATTAAGTTTGCACCTCTTAGATAATAGCAAGGTTAAGCAGGGACTTACAGTTACCAGCCATCTGCATCTCTTCTATGAGTTGGCATCCTTTGTTCGTTTGTATTCTTGCTTGGTTGTCCTTTCCTTATTTGTAGCTATTCTTACATATTTCCCTTTGTATTATGTTACAATTTCTTTTTCCTTTCTGTTGCTTTAACTTTGTTTAAAAAGCATGCCAACTCCTGACGTAACTTCATTGACCTTTTCCTTTGTGGTTTTTATTTTTGTGTTTAGGAAGATACGTCCAACAGTAAAGGCGTAAACATATCCTACTATATTTTCTACTAATACTTCTATTGTTTACTTTTACTCAGCTGGAACTCATCGTTGTGCATGGTGGGTGTGAAGTAAGGACCCCACTCCATTTACTTACAGAAGAGAGGGTGGCGTGGGGAAGCTGTTGGTGGTGGGGAGTGCCGTCACCTCCACGTAGAAAGTCGTCTGACAGTCTTCTCATTGTGTCTCCCTATTACCCACGGCCTCTACCCAAGGCAGCCGGAAGCTGGAACTTCCCTAGGGATCCTCTGGACAGACAGGCTCCCATTACTGAACTCCTTACCACACACACACACCTCAGGGAGCAGCTACTTCTGCTGCACTTCACGAATAAGTACTTTCCCCTTTTGCCTCTTACAAAATCTCATTCTTTCATACACTGATGACTTCTGCTGTCTTATGTTTGATAACTTTTAAATTGCTTTATCTAGTCAATGGGATATGGAGGGAAGATAAACTTGTGTTTAGCTGCAAAAGAAAACTGGGTTTTTTCAATGCAAACGCTGATACTAACAAACTACCTTTCAGTTGTGTAGAAATTCATACTCCCTCACATCACTATACAGAAGTACCTCCTCTCCAATGCTTTTGCAATGCAAATTTTATCAACTTGATTGAAAAACAGTAGTTCATCAGTTTAACTTGTGTTCTGACCCTAGCGAGTTTCAGTACTTACCACACGTTCATCAGTCACCTGTGGCCTTTTTTATACCCTTTGCCATGAGGGGAGAAGTGTCACTTTCTAAATGATTCACAGGAGCACTTTTATGTCAAGGATGAATATCATAGGCTAAATATATTGTAATAATCTTCTCCAATTCTAATGTTTAAAAACCTTTTATCTTTGACTATGTAAAAGCTTATTAACTTTCTTACACAGTCAAACCGAGAATCTTTGTGTGGCTTCTGCATCTTGCGTCATGTTTAGGAAGATTGTTCTCCATGATACAAAGCATGTCATGGTGTCCCCTAATGGCTGTTCTGCAGGATGTCCTAAAAGAATGGATCGTTTGTACAGATATGTTTTTTGAGCAGAACCACATTTACCAATGCTGTTAAGCCACTGACATGAAGCACCACCTTTATTATATATTTCCTTTATATCTGTTGTGAATGCATGTTTGTATGTTAACAATGTTTCAAGCTTAAAAAGCACTTACGATTTTGTTAGGTACACAGAATCTGTAGATTAATCGGGGGCCTCCTAATGTCTGTACTGAGTTTTCCCTACAGAAGGAGAAGACATCTATTCTTTTCACCCTTCATTGAACTTTCATCATTTTCCTTGTACCTACATTCACATGAGAATTGGTCACTGCACTGACTGCACACTCAATGCCCCCAGGAGTCAGAAAGTAACACAGAGTGTAAAAAATCAGATGTAAGGAACAGGGAGTGGCTGCGCTGTGGAGAATTGGAAAATACACGCCCACCTAAAGGGACTCGTATTCATTTTAAATTTGACGCCTACCAACTCACACATGTTTGTGTGCAGCCACTTAGTGAGTTGTCACCTACGGTTTTGGCTTCTTTTCACCTCCAGTTTTGGAATTGCAGCTTAGAAGCTTAGCAGCTCTATTTAAATGATGTGGGTTTAACACAGTTCATCTACCTGGAATTAGGAGAGGGTGGGTCAAACTTAAATTTTATTTTCTATTCTTCTTTGGCTATTGGTCTTTTAAAGTTTTCTTTTTAAAAATAGCTATATTGCCTTTGTTTAAATGTAAATGATGAATACATCTCAGTACATTTTACTTTTTACAAATGATTTTTAAAACCTGGCTTCTTAAAACCGTTGAATATATAATAAAGTTAGTTTTCCTTATTGACAGTCTTATCTCTGTATCTTCACTCTGGAACAGAAGTCACCGTCTTACTCTGATCATGGGCTCTGACCCAGCTCTCCTGTGAGGTACCCTTATCGCCCACCTTTAGGGCAGTGACTACTGTTCCTGATCAAGTCCTTACAGTCTCTTAAGTCTTGAGCTGCCGTTTTTGTTACTTCTCAGATAATCACTGCTGAGATGATCAGGTCTTCTTTGCATACACAGTGCCTTTTTATTTTACATTGCTTACTGAGTGATTATGCTAGGCACTCTGCTGAGCAATTTACATGCATTATCCCATTTACTCCTCCCATTAACTTCTGAGGTAGTACCATTATTACTCCTGTAATATAAATAAGACTGAAGCTTACAAAGGACGAAAGGATGTTTCTCCAAACCCAGATGGCTAGAAAATGGAAGAGCGAGAAGTGGAACCCAGATCTATTTGACGCTGGAATGTGAGATCTTAATTTCGCCCAAGTATCCAAGAATGAGATGGATACTGACATGAGGTGGGGCTTTGGAATACAGACTGGAACAAGGTTTTGTGGGGCAGGGGGTGCCTTTTAGGCTATTCTGAGGCACGTGTTCTTGACCTAAGAACTATGGGATGCCAATGAAGAGTTTTAATGAGGGAGAAGATAGATATATGATCAGGCTTTCAAGATACAAGTTTGACTGCAATGGGGACAATTAATAGGCGATGGCAAATACAGAGGGACGAGTTAGAAAGCCATTTCTGTAGTCCATGTCAAACAGATTACTGTGCATTGGACAAGGATGGAATGGAAGTGGATAAAGGAGTTCGACTCAAGGCAGACTTAGGAGATAAAACCTACAGGTCTTGGCAACTGACTGGACATGGAGGGGGAGGGAGAAGAAAGAGTCAAGAATGACTCCATAGTGTGAATCCTCTCATGATGAGCAAGGTGAGCTCGCTGCCTGAAAGATTTCCTGCAGTCCTTGCATTCATAGGGTCTCTCTCCAGTATGGATTCTTTGATGGAGAGTAAGAGATCCACTGTAGCTGAAGGCCTTCCCACAAATGTTACATTCGTAAGGCTTCTCTCCAGTATGGATTCGCTGATGCTGAGCGAGGCCTGCATTCTGGCTGAACGTTTTCCTACATTCCTTACACATATAAGGCTTCTCTCCAGTGTGACTTCTCTGATGCTGTGCAAGTGATGAACTATTGCTAAAGGCCTTCCCACACTCAACACATTCATAAGGTTTCTCCCCAGTATGAACCCTCTGGTGCTGATCAAGGTACGCGATCTGGCTGAAGGCTTTCCTACAGACTTTACATTCATAGGGTTTCTCTCCAGTGTGAACTCTCTGATGTTGAGCAAGGTGTGCATACTGGCTGAAGGTTTTCCTACATTCCTTACATTCATAGGGTCTCTCTCCGGTGTGAATTCTCTGATGCACGATTAGGTACCCGCGGTGGCTGAAGGCTTTCCCACACACATTACATACGTAAGGTTTCTCTCCTGTATGAATTCTCTGATGCTGAGCAAGAAATGAACCATTACTAAAGGCCTTTCCGCATTCAATACATTCAAAGGGTCTCTCTCCGGTATGAACTCTCTGGTGCTGAGTCAGGTGTGCAATCTGGCTGAAGGCCTTTTTACATTCTTTACATTGATAAGGTTTCTCTCCAGTGTGAACTCTCTGATGTTGAGCAAGGTGGGCATTCTGGCTGAAGGCTTTCCTGCATTCTTTACATTCATAGGGCTTCTCTCCGGTATGAATTCTCTTATGCTGAGCTAGGTTCGCACTCTGGCTGAAGGTCTTCCCACATTCGACGCACGCATAGGGTTTCTCTCCAGTATGAATCCTCTGATGGAGAGTCAGAGATGAGCTCTGATTGAAAACTTTCTCACATTCACTACATTTCAAAAGTTTCTTTTCTACATAGACTCTCTTACGTTTTATGTCAACAGATTTTTTCCGGTAGCTTCTCTTCTGTGGCTCATGCTGAAGTATTCTGTCTTTGGTGGGAAAACTCTGTTTTATACCGAACATTGCATCCTGATGTAAAGTTTGCCAGGATCTAATATAGTCATTACTTTGACCTTCAGAGAGGATTTCTTTATGAGTGATGATCAGCTGCCTAGAATGTACCTCGTGACTTCCCAAGTGGTTTTTAAACCAGTCCTCACTTTCACAGTTTTCTCTCAAACTGGAGCAGTCAAGGCGGTAACTAAGGTGGCTTCCTCCCACTGTCACTGATTTGGATGACTCATCATAAATTACTTGCTTTGATGAAAGTTCATTGTTTTTAAGCACATACTCCCAATCTAAAAGATAACAAGAAAACAAATGTCTTTCATAATTATGCATTAGAAAAGAAGAAATTCTAAAATAAAAATTGGTTAATGAAATACATAAGGTCAAAGGTTTAACAGCTGTTAAATGCACTCTAATAAAGTATGAGCTTATAAAAAATGAGAACGTAACAAGATTTATCAAAATAAATTAATCACACATAACCAGTAAGTTAACAATCAGAAAACCACAATCATTTTGTATCTGTATTAACATGTCTCTAAACACCTTTCCTCTCTTGCCTCAGGTTATCCTGCATTCAAGCTAAGTTTATTATCTTTTAAAACAATTTCATGTCAATGTGGCTAAAAACTCTTAAGATCCTCAGACCCCTAAACATACCAGGTACCACTAATTGCCACAGGCTGTACACAAAACTCTATGGTTAAACTTCACAATCTTCAAAAAGGGGAAGGTCTTCCTGGATATCATTTTCTGTGTGATATAGTCCAACCAAAAGTAAATTTTCAGTTAAGACGCCTTCGTATACAAGTAATTTTGTATCAGATTGCTTCATTTATTTAAGCTGCCATAGGCCTTAATTTGCCTTACACTTTCTTTTTCTTTTTTCTTTTTTTTTTCTTTCCTGGCCTTAAGGTCTTTTTTTGTTTTGTTTTGTTTTTTTCATTTTTCAGTTTTATTTGGAAAAATTGATACAGTTTGACTGCACATATACAATATATTGCATGTAAATACATATATACAATATACTGCCCATATTTTTAAAAGTTACATATATGTACTGTTCACTGCTTCTAAGAACAGTTTAGAGCTTTAACTTTTGGGGTTTTTTTAGCTATTTTACTTTTTTTTAAAACAGCAACATTATTTATTAATTGTCAAGATATGGAAGCATCCTAAGTACACAGCAATAGATGAATGGATAAAGAAGATGCAGCACATATATGCAATGGAATACAACTCACCCATAAAAAAGGATATTTTGCCATTTGTGGCCCTTCATTCACTTTTTTCCACTTCAAAAACCAGAATTTTATAACTGGCATAAACATTTCCATTGCATCAAAAACAACAAAATACCTAGAAATAAACCTAACCAAGGAGGTTACCTACACTCTGAAAACCGTAAAACATTGATCAAGAAAACTGAAGATGATACAGAGAAATGGAAAGAGATCTTGTGCTCTTGGATGGGAAGAATCAACATCATCAAAATGGCTGCACTACCCAAAGCAATCCACAGATCCAGCACAACCCTTGTCAAAATATGACATTTTTCACAGAGCTAGAACAAACAATTCCAAAATTTATATGGAGCCATAAAAGACCCTGAACTGCCAAAGCAATCTTTTGTAGGTCTTTTCCCCTCCTCTTTCTTCTTTTCTCTTTTCTTACGGTTTGATGACTAGAGAAGGTCCTTTCACATCTGTTGTAAAGCTGGTTTGGTGGTGCTGAAATCTTTTAGCTTTTGTTTATCTGTGAAGCTTTTGATTTCTCCATCAAGTCTGAACAAAAGCCTTGCTGGATAGAGTGTTCCTGGTTGCAAGTTTCCCCTTTGCATCACTTTAAATATATCGTGCCTCTCCCGTCTGGCCTGTAGTTTCTGCTGAAAAATCAGCTGATAACCTTATGGGAGTTCCCTTGTGTGTTATTTGTCGCTTTTCTCTTGCTGATTTTAATATTTTCTCCTTATCCTAATTGTTGTCAGTTTGATGACTGTGTGCCTTGGTGTGCTCCTCTTTGGGTTGATCCTGTGTGTCCTTCCTGGACTTGGGTGACTGTCCCTTTCCCAAGCTGGGGAAGTTTTCAGTGATTATCTCTCCAAAATTTTTCTCAGATTCCTTCTCTCTCGCGCCTCTCTTTCTGGGACCCCTATCATGTGACTATTAGTGCACTTCTTCCTGTTGTCCCAGAGTGCTCTCAAACTGTCCTCATTCCTTTTCGTTCTTTTTTTTTTTCTGTTCTGCAGTAGTGATTTACACTAATCTGCCTTCTAGCTCACTGATCCATTCTTCTGCCGCATTTGGTCTGTCCTTGGTTCCTTCCAGTGTGTTATTCATTTCAGTGATTTTATTCTTCAATTCTGTTTGGGTATTCTTTATATATTTTCCAGCTCTTTGCTGAAAACGTCACTGTGCATCTATACTCCTCTTGAGTTCTCTGAACATCTTCACCATCGTTACTCTAAACGCTCTCAGATCAGTTGCCTAGCTCCTCATCGCTTATTTCTTCTGGGATTTTATCTTGTGCCTTGGCCTGGGCGATATTCCTCTGCTGCCTCATATTGTCTGTCTTTCTGTTTCTATTTTTAGGTAGGTTGGTTACTTTTCTCGACCTTGGAGAGGTGGCCCTCTGTGGGAGATGTCCTATGCATTCCAGCAGTACATTCCTCTCTGGTCACCCAAGGACCCAGGGTCCAGCTGGTCCCAGTGTAGAGGCTGGCCTGTGTGTGTGGATTCCTTCCACAGGCTTTGGGATTGTTGTTTTCTTATTTCTGGAATCTGCCCCTGGTAGATGAGGCTGGACTAGAGACTTATGTAGGGTTCCTGGCAGGAGGAGCCGGGGCCTGCCCACTGCTGGGCGGAGCTCGGTCCTGGACCTCTGGTGGGCAGGGCTGTGTCTAGAGGCCTTTGTGGCTCAGAAGGTCTGCTGATGGATGTGCCTGTCCCCCACCCTGTGTGTTGTTTGGCCTGGAGCTTCCCTACAGGCTGTTGGTTGGAGTCAGCCTCCAGGAAAGCTCATGTAGATGAACACTCCCAGGATGTCCACCACCAGCTTTTATGAGTGATGATCAGTTGACTACAGTGTACATGGTGACTTCCCAAGTGGGTCATAAACCAGTCCCCTGGGTGAGCTGCAGCTGTCCCCCATGTCCCCAGGAGACCCTCCCAACCAGCAGGCAGGTCTGCCCCAGCTTCCTGTGAAATCAGTGCCTCTGCCCGTGGACCTGGCATACACAAGATTCTGTGTACATTTCCCAAGAGAATGAGTCTGTTTCCCCCAGTCCTGTGCAGCTCCTGGAGTTAAGTCCCACTGGCCTTCAAAACCAGATGTCCTGGGGCCTCCTCCTCCCAATGCTGGAACCCTGGGCTGAAGAGTGATATAATCAGGCCCCATACCCCCCGGGTGGTGACCCACAAACTAAAGAATAATTAAATCACAGAAGTCTTCCTACAGGAGTGAGAGCTCTGAGCCCCATGTCAGGCTCCTCAGCCGGGGGTTCCCCAGATATACTGGGAGTGTTCACCTACATGAGCTTTCCCGGAGGCTGACATCTTGAATTGGATCAGTAGCACCACCCAACAGCCTGTAGGGAAGCCTCAGGCCAGACAACACAGAGGGTGGGAGCACAGCCCCACCCATCAGCAGGCTTCCTGAGCCACAAAGGCCTCTAGACACAGCCCTACCCACCAGAGGTCCAGGACCGAGCTCCGCCCAGCAGCGGGCAGGCCCCGGCTCCTCCTGCCAGGAACCCTACATAAGTCTCTAGTCCAGCCTCATCTACCAGGGGCAGATTCCAGAAATAAGAAAACAACAATCCCAAAGCCTGTGGAAGGAATCCACACACACAGGCCAGCCTCTACACTGGGACCAGCTGGACCCTGGGTCCTTGGGTGACCAGAGAGGAATGTACTGCTGGAATGCATAGGACATCTCCCACAGAGGGCCACCTCTCCAAGGTCGAGAAAAGTAACCAACCTACCTAAAAATAGAAACAGAAAGACAGACAATATGAGGCAGCAGAGGAATATCGCCCAGGCCAAGGCACAAGATAAAATCCCAGAAGAAATAAGCGATGAGGAGCTAGGCAACTGATCTGAGAGCGTTTAGAGTAACGATGGTGAAGATGTTCAGAGAACTCAAGAGGAGTATAGATGCACAGTGACGTTTTCAGCAAAGAGCTGGAAAATATATAAAGAATACCCAAACAGAATTGAAGAATAAAATCACTGAAATGAATAACACACTGGAAGGAACCAAGGACAGACCAAATGCGGCAGAAGAATGGATCAGTGAGCTAGAAGGCAGATTAGTGTAAATCACTACTGCAGAACAGAAAAAAAAAAGAACGAAAAGGAATGAGGTCAGTTTGAGAGCACTCTGGGACAACAGGAAGAAGTGCACTAATAGTCACATGATAGGGGTCCCAGAAAGAGAGGCGCGAGAGAGAAGGAATCTGAGAAAAATTTTGGAGAGATAATCACTGAAAACTTCCCCAGCTTGGGAAAGGGACAGTCACCCAAGTCCAGGAAGGACACACAGGATCAACCCAAAGAGGAGCACACCAAGGCACACAGTCATCAAACTGACAACAATTAGGATAAGGAGAAAATATTAAAATCAGCAAGAGAAAAGCGACAAATAACACACAAGGGAACTCCCATAAGGTTATCAGCTGATTTTTCAGCAGAAACTACAGGCCAGACGGGAGAGGCACGATATATTTAAAGTGATGCAAAGGGGAAACTTGCAACCAGGAACACTCTATCCAGCAAGGCTTTTGTTCAGACTTGATGGAGAAATCAAAAGCTTCACAGATAAACAAAAGCTAAAAGATTTCAGCACCACCAAACCAGCTTTACAACAGATGTGAAAGGACCTTCTCTAGTCATCAAACCGTAAGAAAAGAGAAAAGAAGAAAGAGGAGGGGAAAAGACCTACAAAAGATTGCTTTGGCAGTTCAGGGTCTTTTATGGCTCCATATAAATTTTGGAATTGTTTGTTCTAGCTCTGTGAAAAATGTCATATTTCGACAAGGGTTG